TCAGAGGGATGCAGACCAAGAGCTTCTCCTTCCCTCTGATGACATCACATGTGGCTTTATTCTCTTTGTCCAGATGGCCCCGACGTCCCCACCATTTCCCCCCCAGAATCATATTACCATCCCGGGGCAAACCTCACCCTCTCCTGCCACGCGGACTCTAACCCACCTGCACAGTATTCTTGGTTTATCGATGGGAGGCCCCAGCAAGCCACACAAGAGCTCTTTATCGCCAGCGTCACTGTGAATAATAGCGGATCCTATGCCTGTGTCGCCCAGAACCCTGCCACTGGCCGCAATGGGACCACGGTCAAGACTATCACAGTCTCTGGTAAGTGAGTCCTTGGAGGACAGGCTTAAGTTTTGGCATGGAGTGTGCCTGCTGTCCAGAGATGAGCCATAAGGGAATTTTCTTTCTCAGCCTGTGTCCCGGGTTCAAACAAGTCCCAGGTTCTCCCCTGAGCCCTCCCCTCTGTCTCTGCAGACGCTCTCTTCCCCTGGCTACTCTGATTTCTCACCTCTGACCTTGGGTCCAGCCTAGAATGGGGGAAGGGGGTGCCCTCGGCCCCAGAGAGCCCCAGATAGTGGGAGGGGCTTCCACAGGGGGGAGGAAGAAGGGCCCCCAAGGTCAAGTGGCTTTTCTGTGTCATGAACTTGTCTGTCTCTCACCTTTTTGTTTTCTTTTACCTACCTGGAAAATACCAGGCTTTAAAACATGTTCATGCTTCTTCCCCAAATGAGAGCAGAAAATCCCCTCAGAGGAAGGATGAGGATCTCGGAGCTCTGCTCCCTGGTCTGCTCCCAGCTCACCCAGTGACGTTTTTCTGAGCTCTTCTCTGACCCCCGCTGGGTTAGGACAGGCCACGTGGAGAAGGTGTCCAGGTGGCCAGGACTAAATCTGGCCACATTATGCCACCAATCAACACCAGAGACTCCCCAGGTCAGGCTGCAGGAAATGGGAAGAGTGAGCCTCAGGGAAGACTCCTGAGCTGTGTCCTGACTCTGCAGTCACCAGATTGTCAGGATGCCTATACTTGTGCCAAATGACAGAGACTAGCAAGTGATGCCCACGTGGAGAAACAAGAAGACCCACAAAAATGTGTGTGTACAGGGAGGGCAGGAGTACCAGCTACCACATAGGGTGTGTATATGAGCACTGTCCAGGAAGTATCCATCCTTAATATAATGAGGACAGTTG